AATACAATTTAGCAATCATAGCTTTTTGTGGGTATTTACAAAGACTAAACCCCACATCTCCATTAAGACTTCATTACATGTTCCACAGAATCCCCACAGCAGTGTGCTACAGCTATATTATTATTCCAATGATTGTTTATAAGGGAGAAATAATTCTCAAATTGTGCCTTTTAAGCCTCCAACCTACATCAATAAGGTAGCTCTTTCCTCTGTCACTTATTCTAGAATTTATTCAGCTAATATTTTCTTCTTCAGACCTTTATAAGACCTCAGTACTCCTAGGATTAATGAATAAGAAATGAATAACAAGATAATTTAAATTTTACAGAGAAAATCAGTCGACACAGGAAGGAACTGGTCTTATCTCAAGATTTCCTTATTCCCAATTCTTAGTGAAAACTAATTTTGCAGCTTCCTGAAGAATGCTATTGCCTGGAATCTAAAACAGTAAGTTGAAAGTAGTAGCCGGTCATTTGTTCAGTAGTTACCAAGTGACTACTACACTACATGCCAAGCATCATAGCATCAGAGGATACAGCAATAAAAAGAAAAAGAAAACAAATAAAACAAGAATCCCTGCCCTCGTGGAGTTTACATTCTAGTGGGGGAAATAGACAAGTACGAAAAAGAATGTAGGATGTCAGATGGTGATTTGTTCTATTTCCTCAGCTTAAAATAGATACATCTGGGTGTGTAATATGGCTAAACGTAGACAAAGAATTTTGGTAGGCACAATTACCCTTCAGTTCTTACTTTTAACTTTGGCCAAGTTCTCTGACTTCTGACCTATGGATTCTAATCTATGGATTAGAGGTGATTGGTTTTTCCTGTTGTATAATTTCCACATCTGTAACATTAGGTAGATTATCAGATTTTGCTGTTGTATTGACTACTACCCAATATTGTCAACCAGGCACATTCCTTCTCAGCAGATGAGGGTGTGTTCATTGGTACAACTTTTCTGGAGGACCCATGGGCAATCCTAAAATCTTTATGGCCTCCAAAAGAACTTCCAGTTCTCTTTTCTATCCAAATGAATGTTTCTCCCTGACAGTGGTTCTCAGGTTTTGGTTGGCATTAGAAGTACCTGGAGGGCTTAGTGAAAACGTAAAGGCTCAGGCCCTACTTACCTTCAGTGAGCCTGAGCCTCAATGGTGATTGTTTCACAGACAAAAGTTTGAAAAGCACTACCCTAGACCAGTGGTCGGCAAACTCATTAGTCAACAGAGCCAAATATCAACAGTACAACGATTGAAATGTCTTTTGAGAGCCAAATTTTTTAAACTTAAACTATATAAGTAGGTACATTGTTATTAACTTAATTAGGGTACTCCTAAGCTGGCCTTTGCTAAAAACGTCCTCAATCTGATTGTGGTACGTTCATTGAGGTCGACCCCTTCCAACTCTCCTAGCCACACTAGTCTTGTATACTTGTTTCGTCTATCTCCTTTTGTTCATCCTCTCTATATGTCCAAACCATCTCAACATACCTTTCTCAATCCTCGACACTACATCTTTTCACTCCACAACGTTCCCTAAAATTAACTTAATAAACTTTATTTAAAGTTTTAAGTCAACTTCGCACTATATGTGCTCGCCCGCACGTGGTATTTTGTGGAAGAGCCACACTCAAGGGGCCAAAGAGCTGCATGTGGCTCGCGAGCCGCGGTTTGCCGACCACTGCCCTAGACTTTCACCCAGCCAACCTCCTTCAGCTTCAGACCTTGGCTTAGATGTCACTGCCTCAACAAGTGGTCTCTAAACATTAACCAACCCATGTCTGGCTGAGGCACCGTCCTCCACAATCCCCTGAGGGCCATCTATACATTAGCCAGTCCCATCTTTCTCTGTTGCAAGAAGGCAGACTCCAAAAGAACAGGAAGTGTCTACCCTTTTACCATAATATCCCTAGTACCTAACACTGTGTCTGACTCACTGAATGAGCCACAAAAATATACCCACCCATTGTGAACCAGCGGTCTAGGAAATCATTCTAAGGAAATAGTTAAGAATGTACTCAAATATCTAGCCAAAAGGATAAAGCAGAGCTAGGTTTATGATGCTAAGAAATTGGAATCCAAAAAAAAAAAATTAAAAAAAAAAAAAAGAAATTGGAATCCAATGTTAATAAAGGGGCTAAACTAAAATGATGCTTGCAATAAAAATGGTGTATTCAACAAATGCAAGTAGAAACTTTTAAAAAATAATAGAACCTATAGACTCGAGACATTATTAGCAAACTGCAATGAATAAAACACGAATTCTGATTTGAAGAACCTATTTTTAAAAAACACGCACACATTTGGGACAATCGTGAAAATTTGAATACCGACTATAGCTTTCTAGTTTAAAGACATGTGGTATTGCCCTGGCTGGTGGTCCTCAATGGTTAGAGCACCAGCCTACAAACAGAAGGGCTGCAGGTTCCATCCCACCCTGTCAAGTGCAGGAGGCAACCAATTGATGTGTCTCTCTCACATCTCTCTCTCCCTGCTCCCTCCCTTCCACTTTCTCTCTAAAAACATAAATGTGGTATTATGCTTGGGCTTTTTTTTTTAAGAGTTCTTCTCTTAGAGATACATACTGAATAATTTGCTGGTTCAATGTCTGGGGTTTGGTTTTTGAAAATCTGGGTAAGAGAAAAAAATAAAACAATGTCAGCCATGAGGTAATAGCTATTGAAGTTATTCTACTTTTTATATATTTGAATTTTTTCATAATAAAATGTTTTTTAAATCCTCCCCAAAGTGATACAGAATACTTAAGGACTTAAAAATTTCCCATTTATTAACCGAAAGCAGGTAAAAAACAGTATGATCCCACTTTATATAAATGCACATACGCAAAGGTCTATAAGGACATATGCCAAGGAAGTAAGTTTTCCCCTCAGTGCTCTCCAATAGAACTTCCTATGATGCTGGGTATATTACCTGCCACATTCAAAACAGTAGCCACAAGCCCGGCCGGTGTGGGTCAGTGGTTGAGCATCAACCCATGAACCAGGAGGTCACTTACAGGGCACAAGCCTGAGTCTCAGGCTAGATCCCCAGTAGAGGGCATGCAGGAGGCAGCTGATCAGATTCTCTCTCATCGTTGATGCCTCTCTCTCTCTCTCTCTATTTCCCTTCCTCTTTCTGAAATCAAAAACAACAATTAGTAGCCACAAGTCACATTAGTAAGCCCTTAAAACTTGGCAGTGCAATTAACTTTGTGTAATTTTAATTAATTTAAATTTCAATAGCCACATGGGGCTAGTTGGACGCCACACTGGACAGCATGGGCAGATGATGGAATTATGGATGATTATCTTCTTTTTCACTTATTGTAATTTAAACATTTTTCTACAATGAAAAAGCATTGTTTTGCAATAATGAAAAAGCAGGCTTTGTTTTCATTTAAAATCTTTACTGACTAGTGGTGTGGATTCTCTTCTTCATAGAACTATTTTAAAAATGAAAGGAAGTGGAATAAAGCAAGTTACGTAGAAAAGTTTTATGTGTTTGCTTTCAATTCGCTTTTAAAGGCAAAAGCAGGCAATTCACCTCCAGATCTGTTCTTTCAATCCCTCCATCCCTTCTGTCTCAATCCATATAAATCATGTTTTTGTTTACTAAAAGGACTGTGTGTGAATGTGTTGTGTAGATTAGAAACTTCAACATATATGTCAATCACAATGGAAAGGAAAAAAAAAAGCTAGGGCCCCAAAAAAGCCTTTGTGATTTTTATCTAATGAATTGGGAGACATACAGGCAGAAGAGAATGTTTAAAAGATCAAAATGCATTTCTTTATTGAAGCAATTAGGAAATGGGAGCAATCTGATGGATCTGACAGGGTTGGAAAGGAATATAGGACCTTAAACACGACAGTTGTTAACAGATAAGTCTTAAGTTGTAGTTTATAATAAAGTGAAAATGTGAGCATGAAAGAACTATGCCAGACGTGAAATTTTTATTGACTTATAATAATTTTTTCAGCATACAAAGTATTTAATCAAGTGTAATATTTACAATTCTTACATAATGTACATTTTAGAATAACTATAAAGATAATGTACTTTGTTTCATTTACAATGACAAACTACACTAAAACTACATTCATGAATTAGATACAAATCCTCTACATACCAATAAAAAGTAAATGTGTTGGTTATACATTCTTTAAAATAAACCCTTTCACAGATAGCAAGAAATATTACATGTAACAAGTCTTTATGCCTGGAATGATCCAAAATACCACAAAGCACAAGTAAACATATGCAGAAAAGTAGCTCATCATTTCCAAAAGTTAACCTTAAGCCTTTGTGTAAAATAAATGTCGTCAGCACTCTTTATAATGTAGCGAGCTTTCCCTGTTTAAAATTAACATCACCGGTGTTGATGAAAAATAAAAAAAATCTAAAACATAAAATAGTGAAAAGACCAATATAGAGAAAAGCTTATTTAATCAAACCTTGCTTCTCTCCCCCATTATCTCATTTTAAGTAAATAAATGTATGTAAACAGAAAAGGATGTCCACAAAATTATATTTGCAGATGTCAGGATTCAACCAAATTGAATCCAAGCCCCTTTTAGTTATCTTTCATCAAGAAATTTTTAAGTACAGGCATACCTCAGAGATACTGTGGGCTCATTTCCAGACCACCACAATAAAGCAAGTATTGCCATAAAGTAAGTCATAACCTTTTTGCTGATGGAGGGTCTTGCCTTCAATTTGTAAAGACACAATATCTGTGAAGTGCAATAAAGCAAAACACATTAAAATGAGGTATGCCTGTATATAGTAAATTAAAATTACCTTTGAAATGTTTTGCCTTTCATTAATGTTTGTTATTGCAAAAATGTAAACTTTCCTATAATTTAATGTTGTCAAATCCCAATCTATTCCTTCAAGGTAATTATATTGCCAGGTTCTCCAGAATATTTGGAGTTTTTATCAAAACACAAGGAAAGCTGGCAGTCATTATCAGATGTTGCTGCTTTACAATGATTTCAAATCAATTCATGATACAAATAAAGTGCCTCTGACTATTAACGACAGACAAGGGGGCTCTGGTGTCATCTATGCCACCGACCAGCACACCAGTGACCCCCTCTGTAAAACAAGAGGAGTGAACCAGATCAAAGAAGAGACAGTGTTGGCTTGTGCAGAGAAGTCCTACTGTGAAATCAGGTGAGATAAAGTAATGTCCAAGTACACTGTGAACAGCAGAACAGTATACAAAGGGATGCTGTTATAGTTTCATTTTGCTTCATCACACTGGTTTATTTGTGAGGAGCTCTGAATCCAAAAAGAATAGTAATTACTAGTCAGTGGTCTTTCCACTATGCAGGTCTGAAGTCATTCTGGACAAACAATTCTATAAAAACATCATTTTTCCAGCTCATGTCCATGGTCAAAGGTGCTAACAAACAGAAAAGTTAATTTGACAATCTAAGAGTGATATGGAAGTGTCTCATTATTCAAAATGGGTAGTAAATTTAGTCTTAAATACAATTTGGTTGATTGTGACCATACTTTACATTTATAAAATTATATTTCTAAAATACTGCTTAACACATCACAAACTTGAGATGTCCAGAGTGTAAAGGTATATGTTTTTGTGGGATTTTTCTTTTTCAAAATGCACTCATGAAGAACCAAGTACGTATTCCAAATTAAATCTATACATTTTGAGAAACAAACACCAAAGTTCATTAAAGTCTATAGTCAAGACCAGTATAAATTAGGCAAACACTGTAATGTAGTGAATCCCTGGAAATTCCTGGATTTCTAAGGACTGTACCAAAGGTAATTTTTAAAACCTTATAGAATTGCAAATAACTACTCAATTACCTTTAGTCTAGTTCTAACATGAAACTGCACCTGATGAACTCCTCATAGTGCAAATAACATTTTTATTTTAATATTAATCTAACTTCTAAGTTAATGAGCTAATGAAATGCACTAACAGAATAATGAGAAAGAATCAGAAACTAGTATCAGCAGATCAGTTAAGGAAAGAAAACAAAGGGCAGGCACACTGACCTGTGAAGCCCAAGGGTTTGATTAACGTTGTTCCCACTATAGTTTCTCATAATGCACTGAATAATTCACAGCGCAATAAAACTCAGATTTGTTACATACTATAGAAAAGATGTTACTTGACAGCTAAATTTACCCTGGTAAGAGCCACCCTTTGTAACTACTTGTAACTATTATACTTTAGAGCCTTGCTGTTTACTGTATCATTTCTGCCAAATTTAATCCAAATTATGTCTCAGCATATTTAAGAAAGCAAGCCACAGGAATGTATTTCTGTAGTACCAGATTCCCTGTACTGTTAAAGATGTTGCCTTCTCTGAAGATATTCAGAACCATGATCATCTTTAGTGTACTGTAAATACATCTCTAACCATTAAATGTAAGTGGGCACTAATTACTGCCACATTAACAACTCATGACTCAAGCCACAGGAGGTAAGAGCGTCATGAAGAATTGCCTTCACAACTAGAGATTCCACAGGTTTTCTGAAGCACCAATGGCTGAATCCAAAAGGAAATCTGCCTAGGCTTCCTCAGATAAAGGGTAGGAGCTTTAGCAGGAATGGGCACTGCAAAGGAAAAGTGAAGCTCTCTTTCCTCTTTCTTTCTTTTTGTTGTTTTCAACATATTTCCTTATGCTTGAGTTTTTCGAAAAATCAATCTCAAGGTACACTCTAATAAAAGTGATATATATCAAACTTTTGCCAAGCCAGATGATCTGTGACTCTGAGGTAAAACAGGAAGGAAGGGAGAGAGAGAAACATTGATTGGCTGCCTCCTGAGCCCAAAACCTGGGCATGTGCCCCAACTGGGAATCAAACTGGAGACCTTCTGGTGTACAGGACAATGCTCAACCAACTGAGCCACACTATGACTGTTATTGGTTTAATTACAATACAAGGCTTTTGGAAGTTAGGATTTCCTTAGAAATAATTCATAAATACAGTTTTTATTCTTATCTGATATGCAGTGATTATTACTAAATAAGCATTATATGCATGCAATTTGACCAAACATGGAACCTTTCCTGTGATGTGAATTTATTTCAGTATAATTCCTGTTTAGACAGATTCCGTTTTGAGAGTCAATTAATTTATAAAACTCTAGTTATTGGGAGGAAGGCATGTTAGAAAATGTATCTCTACCCTATTAAATAGTATTTACCTACTTAGCTGATAAGCCAAATTTTAAAAACTCTCTTATTTAGAAACTGAGTATCAATGATAACACATGTAACTTGTAAAATAAGATTAAATTTAATTGTTGACAATATTAGAAAGAAACCATGCTCTGGCTAGTGTGGCTCAGTTGGTTGAGCATTGTCCTGTGCACCAGAAGGTCTCCAGTTTGATTCCCAGTTGGGGCACATGCCCAGGTTTTGGGCTCAGGAGGCAGCCAATCAATGTTTCTCTCTCTCCCTTCCTTCCTCTCTTTCTCTCTCTCTCTCTCAAAAAAAAAAAAAAATCAATAAAAACATTTTTTAAAAAATAAAGAAACCGTAAGGCAAATTACTAAATTATTTATACTCCTGACAAGATATGTCAACCAAAGATGGAATTAGCCTAATTTGTAGCATATAATGATAAATTAGTATATCCATATTTTGGAATTCAAGGGCCTATGATTCATAAAACCAAATACTAAAGCTATATAGATGTTATAATTTAAAATAACATACACTGTATACAACAAGTACACAGAATAGATGTTGAAAAATTAAAAAGCAATTTAATGCTATATTATAATTAAAGCTAAGAAAAACATTACGTTTTTTTTCTCCTTTTACAAAGAGATTTTTCTTTCACAAGGACCAATAGCAAAAATGTATCTTGAAAAGGACAAATTTCAAATATAAAAATGCTCTACATTACTCTATAAATCAGCTTTTCCTTTGAAAGTTACAATATGATGAAAGCGTAATTTTGCAACATTCAAGTAACCTTTGAAACAGTTTTATTACATCAATAAGTTTGTCCAGGTTTTAGGAAATCAACCCAACAATGAAGAACTACCATTTCTATAACTGAGAATCTTTTGGTGATTAAAAAAACTTGTTAAGGGCTTCATTTTGTTGCATAAAATGGAATAAAACTGAAAGACTGAGTTATATCTACCTGTACAAACACTGTATGTATGTTAAAGTACTGGATAATAACCAGATATCTAAGGAGTATAACTGCATTTATGAACCAATGGGGGAAACATACTCTCCAGCTAATAATTAAATTACATATGTGTGTATAACAGCTAGGCTATCAAAGCAAAATAAAACCACTTCTGAACCACTAATGTTATCTGGGAAACTAAAGACAAGACATATTCTTGAGGCAGGCAGGACCAGTCGGCTCCCACTTGATGCAAATGTGACACTGGGTACGACGCACAGAAGAAAAATCAACGCTACCATCCACTAGCAAAAAAAGAGATTTTTGTCTAAACTCTTAGGACATAGTAACCTAAAGATGGCCTAAGTCTAGATTCAATTTTTATCTATAAAAATAGCCCTTTAAACAGCCTCTCTTCCTTTTTGTGGGTCCTAAAATAGGCTCCTCTTCCAACTACTAAAGCCCTATGTTTTACCAATGAATGGGTACCTTTTTTCCAAACTACTCAATATCTACTAAAATTAAGTAGAATTAAAGTAGTAAAAATGTGTGAGTTTTCAAATCTATACATTAGGAAGTCACCAGATTTAGTATTCTCCCCTTCTTAAAAAAAAAAAAAAATCAGAATTTCTGTGAATCTTGCTGGAAACGATTTAGTTTTTCTGGATTATTGGATGCCATCTGAGAAAAATCACGAAAAATGTCCTGATAAGTTTCATCACCTGCATGAAAGTAAAATAAGGACACTTTTAAAATGCATACAATAAAAATATTAATAAACAATATTCATTCTTATATTTAGTAACTACTTTATAATTCATTCTATTAAAATTTTGTTTAGCTGAGCATTTTTAAAAGAAAAAAGATGATCTAAATATAAATGCTGGAAAAGTATATAGTGAAAGAAGAAAGAAAACTATACCTGAAAAAAGCACCTCAAATGCAGCCATAGAGGAAAGTTCAGAGTTAGAAAAGAGCAAAGATGCAAGTATTTTAAAGCCATGTGCAGAAATACATTTATTCATACATGGGAAATAAAAGTCAGTATAAGTGAGGTATAGTAAACAAGGCATTCTTTAAATAAGTATTTCCCTTGATCAAGACCAAAAGGAAAGACCAAAAACAAACACTAACTGTTTCTGATGGATGCAAGTTATTAACTAGACAAAGCTGATAATCAGGTGAGGGGGGAAGCCTACTTTAGTATTACCTTTTAAAAGGCATTTTAATTTAAATAGCATGTGAAAAAGAAATTCTTTAACTTTAATGCTTAACTAAAACTAACACACCTAATCCCCTGCTTACTAAGCTTATAAAATGATAAAGCCTAGAAAATGACTATAAAATCATAATTTTCACATGTAGTCAGAAGTTTTTATTTACTGTAGGTCATATGAGAAAGAATACTATGACAACAATGGGAATACCAAAAACATGTTGAATTAGAATAATAGACATATGTATATACATACAAATATGCTTGTAGGGAAGAAGATTATACATACTAATACTATAGCTGATTAATACTCTATTTCTTGCCATGAGAAATTAAACATATACACACATACAGATTACTCCTCAAATAAAGGATTTGTATAAAATAAAATCTTATTTTCAAGATGAGTAATCCATTAGGAATGCTTCCTATTAAACATCAGCTTTATACAGAAGCTTGGCATAGTTCTGTTTTCAAGATTTAGACTGTCAAACACTATTTTACATGACTGTTGTTGCAACATGGTTTTATAATTATTTCCTAGAATATACCTTGCATCCATCTTATTACAAACTCATTTGCTACAGTTGTTGTTAATAGTGCAGTAAGTTTTGTTAGCTTTTGAAAAGAGATTTTTTGAGGCAATAGATGTCATACCAAAAGCTAGAGAATTAGAAAAAGTCTGGGAAGGGGACGAAGATCTATCTAGTAAAAAGGTCTAATAGCATAACCCAAAATTTTCAATAAAAAGTTTTTAATACTTTCAATATTTTTTTCACTTTTAATATTTAATCTATGTAAAAAGCAAGTTATTAAAATCTCTATATAGTTTTCATTTAACCCTGGAAATTTCTCATGACCTGAATCAATCAATCTACTTTAAAAAGAAAAAAGTAAGGAGAGAATCTTAATAGGGTTGGCTAAGAGTAACATTCTTAACTCATTGTCATTAAAACAATAAAAACAAAGGTTGAAATGCTGGAACAATAGGTAAGACAATCCAATTATATCCATGATTTCTTAAAAGTTACTCCCACATTAAAAGACAAACTACAATCTATTCCCATTTTTAGCCATTCTAAAAGATATAAAATAATACGAGAAGAGACCAACATTAAATATCAATTAAGAAACCATACAAAATATTTAAAATTTTTTCTTATTCTTAGATGTTGAATTAAAATATTTAAAATATTTATTGTAAACATTATAAATATTTTTAAAATACTATTTAAACTGGAGAGTCTGGAATTTTACTTTCCAAAAAAGTGTAAAGTGCAGATTATAATATAAAAATACCACACTGATTTTACCATTCAACACCAGAAGTAACTTAAAAGGCACACATTATACATTCAAGAAGAAATAGGAAGAAGGATCTAGCAGAGACACCAATGCCAAATAGTTTACAGATAGCACCAGATGAGCATTCTTAGTATTATAACAGTACAATGGTGATATATGGCTTCTACTATTAGCAATGCATATTTTGTACAGCAAGCTGTGGAATTTTTTCTTTTTGTGGTTTTCCAGTTTTCGTTTTAAAATTATCTAGTACCTATTACACAAGTACATTTTAGTAGAACCATTGTACCATGCAAAACAAATTATAAGCTCTTTTATTCACTCAATTAAATGCTTCTTTGAGGGAAAAATTGTTGGTGCTACACACTAATCATTTGTTTCACTTACTGAATACATTTTAAAAGAGTTACTACAATACGGAAGGAAGTCTCACCTTCACACACACACAAAACTTTTATTAACATTCAGTTTCTAATAAAACACTAAATAATGGACTATCAATATACCTTTCTTAGGCTTCAAAATGTATGGTCAGAAAACAAAGGTTACAATAATGATAATGACTAAGTTATTTAATATAGTTAACACAAATCGACTTCAATGTGATCCTTTAAAATTTAAATATAATTTTAATCATTTAGAATTTCTCCCAAGGCAACTATAACTTGTCTACACTAGAAGATATAAACAATAAGCCAGAATATGATGCCCTGGAAAGTTTACAGAAGTACATTTAACAGTTTATTATTAATGGTAAACAACTAGTCACCCAATATTTTTAATGCTAAGTTATATCCTTTAAATTACTTAATCGCATTGTACTAGTATTTCTCTTCAGAAAGTTAACTGTCTATGTGCCCGGACAGTTCTGAGTTTTTAAAATGTGGACTGCTGTTTCCACTGGTAGTTTAAAATGGTTTTTTGATTTTTGGTATTCAGAATAGCCACTGCAATAGCAGTTATAATGATCCAAGATTTTGTTGATTTTGCTCTTGAGCAAAAAGATGGCAGCATGTGAAACCCCACCCCCAACTAATCTTGCCCCTTCTGGGTTAATTACAGCCTTCTTTTATAACTGATTAGATCAGACAAAAGCCTTTGTCAGTAACATACTCACATAACCAGTAGTGGTTAACTAAAGCAGTGATTTTCAACCGACTAAGAAACTGCCAACAATCAAGAGGAATCCTAGGACCAGAAATTGGACTGTGGGAACCACCACACTGGTTTCCAACAATTCAGAGCAGGGCATGATATCTCACTCACCCACCCCCACCCCAATTCTCCTAAGAGCTGCAGTAACTGATAAACAGGGTTAGATAAATCTTCCCTTCAGGAAACATGTGCTCTTAAACCTTGCAAAAAATCAGGAGTCTGAGGTCAGGGTTGTGGATAGAAAATTCAGAAGTGGAGTCTCCTAGAAATAAGTCCATGATTCCCAAAGGTAATATCTGAGTCTTCTGGTAGGGCTCTTCATTATCAAAAGACTGAAACTAACTGCATTTTAAAATTATCCAGAATTGTGAGATTTTCTTTCTTATGGTAGGCAGCAAAAAAAAAAAGTATCTAGATAAAATAACCAAAATATATGAGAAAAATTTACAGTGATAGGCGAAGGAGAAAAAAAGACCTGTTACCTAAGCAAACATATTTGCTCTCCAAAGACTCATAGGGAGAAGAAAAGTAGTCAGAGAGCAATTGCTGTGCCATTTCACCATGTCACCTGTATAAGTATAAAATTGTTCTGCTTTAAATATCAGACTCTCTAAATAAATCTAATTAGAAAAATCTAATTAGCAAGATGATCCTCAAATAGATCAAAATTTCATTTTATTCTGCATTTCCAGAATTCTGATCTATTTTTAATCTCTAAACTGAATTTTGAGAGTGGTATAAAAGTTTGTTTTTTTAAAAAGAGGTTTTTCAAATTTTCATTCAAATAAATAGCAAAAGTCTATTTTTCTTTGGATGAATGGAAGGTATATACTCATAAACTTATACATAAAACAACAGTGAAAGAGACATATGAATGCTCCTAAATGGTGGCGGAAGCCCAAGCAATTCAGGTGAAACTAGAAGTTGCAAGAGCATAAAGGCCCTGTCCTTTCCAGCTTCCCAACTCCAGAGAAAAGTCAACCACTGACCTTCTGACTAAACAGTTGGGTGTAACTTCATCAGCAAACACCTTAAGGAAAGAGCAGCTGACCAAACATTTAAGTTTAAAATTTCAGGAAAAAAAGAAAGTTTAACTTAAAATCTTGAAGATCACTCTTATCTCACAAATATCGGTCATAGCCTTTGAATAATATTTTTTATTTTAAAGTGCTTAAACACAAAGGCCTCAAAAAAATGGCCTAGTAATACCATCACTTAAGTATATGTTACAAAATAATAACATTTAAAATCTCACATTCAAGTTTAAAACAAATGGGTGAAATTCAGAATTAACACTGAGACTTCACCCTTAATCAGCTTTCTTACATCTTGGTATATCATGAATCAGTAGTACTGTTTGATCCATAGGATTAAAGTGGGACACCCTAGATTAGAAGTATCTAGATGTTCTCTATTCTCAAAGTTCTTACTTGTTCCCTGTTAAATTAAACCAAAAATAAGTAGTAAATACAGTCCTCTGAGAAAAGAATGGCCCCATATATCTATTAATTATATATTAATCTGATTAAAATAAAAGGAAATGGCTGAAGCTAGAACAAAGTACAGAAATTTCAAAATATATTTAAACAAGAATAGATATTATCAAGCTTTTTAAATTATTAATATTCATTAAAAAATTAAATATAGCGAACAATTTCAATTATTTTAGTCATTAATTCCAAGTTTCTTACTAATATGTATATGAATTTAAAACAGATATATTAATAATTCATATACTCAACTTCATAAAATTGCAGATCTAATTATTTGATATTTCATCAAAGAGAGGAATCTGATCACAACATTTCTTCCTTTTCTTAACATCTTGATTCAAGGGTGAAAATGACTCAAAATGAGACTTGAGCTGATACTGAATTAGATTTCTCTAATTATGAATAAGTCTACTTTGCCATCAGGTTCTCAAAATATTGTTCAAAAAACTTCCATTTATCTAACAGATATTGTACATTATAAGATAAAACGAGACCTTTCCTCTATACCTTTTAAACTAACTCCACTCCCATTATGTACTTCTTAACCTACTGGTAAATTTTATTTTAAACCTTCAACTCATGTTTATATCAAAGTATAAAACTCCTAAATTCATTTTCTAGGTATTTTCCATTCTGACTTATTATTTGCCAAGCATATGGTGATTTGTTTTTTTCCCTGAACACAATTTATAGAAATTCCCTGAATTAACAAAAAGAAAGCCATTTTGTTATATTCAGTTGACAGAGAATTTCAAAAAGAAAATGACTATTGTGCTGCTGTAAGTGTATAAAGATACATTATCATTCCATTTACTTCACTGGAATGTATATGGAAGACATCTGTACAGCAGAGAAAGAAGTCAGCAGCCAGAGTTCAATACAGCAAGTAAATGTGTACTCTAATAGGAATAGTTATGGATATTTAAAGGCCCAGGAGTTGACCACCCCCAAGAATTCAACAGGTACAGTACATACTTAACAACTCACAATTTACAAGTTATAAAACTCTATAATATTAAGCTAGTTTGCTAAAGAACTATCAGTCCTCCAATTGTAAACTTATAAATTCTTGAATGCATTTCTTATACTGCATTTCAGTATGGTTATTAGTAGAATATTGACCTGGCTGTCCATAAAGTCCTTCTGACTCCCGCATCTCTTCATTCATTCTTGCTAAACGTAACCTAAAATTAAATAAAAGCATTTTTAGATGAAGTTATACAAGATAAATATTCATAAAGTAATGAATTGTATAAGCAGATAAAACGTGTACTAATGTAATTTTTTTCTCTATCAATATTTGCCACTGAAATAAATGGGCTTTTATTCTATCAGACCCAGCCAGCAATCCAGATAGAAAAATAATTGTATTTCACTTTATACAATTCTCATGAGAGAAGACAATGAAGGCGCATTTCAGCTCTGTTAAAGCAAGATTCTTGCAGCACCTTCAGCAACTTGCTTCCTCCAGACTCCAGAGAATTCCTGGCTTCTATAGCAACCTATCAAACTTTAACCGCCAACTGCTGAAATTAATGCTATAGTATGGAAGCAATAGCCTATCATAAATTCACTCTGGTTCACTCTGAGGTGAGTAGTTCCAGTCATATAAACAGTGTCTGTTATTTCTAAATACTGGAAATATATTTTGATATACAAACATTATAATAATGACCACAGGTGACCAAGATTTTCCCAAGATTACCATATTGGCTATGCATTCTTTTTGGGAATTATTCATCCTGGCAGCAGGAAGACATGTAGCATTGGATTAAGAAGACAAGAATTTCTTCCCATTTTCTTACTAACGTGAAACAACATTTTAAAACATGCAAATGGCCCTAACCAGTTTGGCTCAGTGGATAGAGCATCGGCCTGCAGACTGAAAGGTCCCAGGTTCGATTCTGGTCAAGGGCATGTACCTTGGTTGCGGGCACATCCCCAGTAGGAGGTGTGCAGGAGGCAGCTGATCGATGTTTCTCTCTCATCGATGTTTCTAACTCTCTATCCCTCTCCCTTCCTCTCTGTAAAAAATCAATAAAATATATTAAAAAAAATAACAACAACATGCAAATGTTGCCTTTGGGACCCTTCTCCTACTTTATATTACTCTTCTGTTCTTCAAGCCACCAAATACTCATTGCCTTCCCAGACTTCTAACACTCTCTTCTAACATGCTCTCTCTGGCAACTACTGCAGCATCTAAAATGGGCTTTTCCTATCTTCAGAGTACCATGAATCCCTTCCATTTCCATTTTCAACCACTGTGTCAATTAATAATAGCAACATAATTTTCCTTTTAGTATTTGGACTTTTCTAAGAGGACATCTATTTTCAAAAATTTTTAAATGAAACTAAAGTCCTTACACAAAGTAATATGAGAAAATTTAGTTAACTTGGAAACAGCTATCTTTGGGAAGAGGGGCCTTTACTGTAAGAGTTGCCTGGGAACCCTGCAAAACCAAGATTTGTTTCTCTATACCATTTCTGTCTTTTCTTTAATAACTTACCTTTCTCTAATTGTAAATCTACAATGATTTAAATTTCCCTACAATAGCCTCCACAGTAACATAACTCCTCCAGTGTGGAAAGGAAGTTGAGTACAGAGAAAATATGCTTTTTAAAAAATTTTTTTATTCAGCAGTGACATATGACAAGCCAAGAATTCTCAGTGGGAGCTCAGGAGTTCAAGGCAGTCGTGGGATTTTCTCTTTGTAAGTGACTGAGATTTAGTCATGTGAATGGAACTGTCTCTACTTATATAACAAAGGATCAACCATTCCGGGCTTCATTCAGCCCAGAATAGAATGAAAAAGTGACTTCATACAACATATGCTTGAGATTTCCTACATAATAATGACATGTAAGTGAAAACGCATTTCTTGATTCCAAGTGTAACAATTAACTTTTATCTAATATGAAAATCAAATTAAGACCTCAAAAATCATTCCTTAACAGATCATATTAAATTGTATTCAAACATTCAAAAACAAGTACTTTTATCTTAAAATAGAGTATTCTTTTAAAAATAAGTACAAACAAATCCTTAAGTATCACTGCCCAAAAGCAATGCAACTGCAAAAGTTACTAACACCAATGTAGATGTCCCCCCTACATATAATCCTGATTCTCAAGGTAGCAGAATAATTGCCTGTTACTGTACCAATCCAATCCCCATCCCAATATGTACTAAGAGTTAAATAATCCATTTTAGAGAAATCACGGGTTTTCTGTTTCTATTGGTCATGAAGGATAACAGAGGTGGCTAAGAACATGGGTTTTAAGGCCAGAATTCTTGCTTTCAAATTCCAGCACTACCACTTACTAGTTTTTCAAATTATCTGTGGCTTGATTTCCTTATAAAATGAGGTTAATAATAATAACATCTTCCTCACAGGGTTGTGAAAACCAAGATCATGTAGTAAAGTGCTTAATACATTTATTGTACTTAGAGAAGTATATGGTATATAGTAAATAACTGGCCAAGTTTAAAGTTCATACCTACAAAGGAAACCCCACCCAAGTCCTATAGTGTACGGGAAATAATGAAGTAAAAAAACACTTACAAGGTCACTATATCAGCATTGGCTGCTTCCACAGCTATAGTTAACGGGTCTTTCCCTTCTTCATCAGTGGCATGTTGATTGGCACCTCGTTTTAGGAATAAACATACCTGCCTTTTTAAGCAAACAGTATTTTTGAGATAAAGTCAATAAGAAAGAAATTAGTATTTACCTTAAAAAATAAAAAGCACTACCTAACTTATAGAAATAATATTTTGATTAGTAAATTCTTATTCATTCTACAAATGACCTCTAACACTCTTTTTGAACACTGACTCTAAGAATAAAAATTTACCATAATCAGCATTTTACAAGTCTATTTAACCTGGTACTATATAGTACAGTAGGATTGTAAATTATGGTCCCTACCCTCAAAGAATATCATAAAAAGATGTACACAGATACATACAAAGTTAAAACAAAACTCAATCAATTTGGGAAAGAAGGAAGCCAAGGTAATGTTAACATCTTCTATAAAAATAAAAGCATAATATGCTAATTAGACCAGACGTCCTTCTGGACAACCTTCTGGACAAAGCTGGGGCTTCGAGGGAAACCTGGGTCCCGGGTGCCAGAGGGAAGCCGGTGCCGGCAGCGGGGGAAGGAAGTCCTACTCTTGCACAAATTTCGTGCATCGGGCCTCTGGTCATAATATAATACAATAGCAGAGTGGGAAGTAATCCTCCCACTATATTTCACAAATATTGTAACTTGAAGAAATTGATAAAAATGAAAAAAATATGAAATGAATAAATGGAGTCCATGACGTAAAATGGGAAGAAGTATGATTGTTTAAGAAGAAAATACAAAGAATGAGTTAAATGCTATCGTTTCTAAGTATAGAAAAGTTTTTATGATGAAGTTATTGAACTGAATCTCTTTACTGACAGAGGGAACATAAACAAATAATAGAAGATACTATAAATAAACAGAAAAAAGAACAGTTTGCTTGTCAAGGTAATAAGAATTGGATAGGCCCGGCCAGTGTGGCTCAGAATGGTTTAATGTCAACTCATGGTTCGATTCCCAGTCGAGGTACATACCCATCCCCAGTGGGGGGTGTGCAGTAGGCAGTGGATCGATGATTCTATCTCATCATTGATATTTCTCTCTCTCTCCCCCTTTCCCTTCCTCTTTGAAAATCAATAAAAACATTTTTTTTAAAAAAGAATTGGTTATCTTTGAAATGATTAAAGAACAATCACCCATTCACAAACTTTTCAAATAAGGCTAACAATCTGACTTCATTTGTGCACTCTAATAGAAAATATGTTTTCATGGCATTACTGTTTTGTGAGTCTAAATATTGCTCCAGAAGTTGCAATATCAATAGCACAGACTAAAAATTTACCTTAAAATTTGACTTTGGATACCCTGTGGGAAAACTAAAATGCCCAAAGTTACAAAGTTCCCCCAAAATGTGTTTGTTATGTACATAATGTATGTCTACGTGCTTAAATACACACACAGACTTAAAGTTGTCTGACAAAAATCACCATCATTTTACTATTTTAAATACTGAAATTAATTGACATAAATGACAAATGAATTTCAAAGTAAGTTTTGGAATTTTCTTATCTGAAAAGTAACATATTTTTTTTTATTGAGATTTTTTAAATTTCAAATTCCATCATGACAATTTAAGTTACAGGAAAGTGTAATTTTACAAACTCTACCTAATAGCCTTAATCTGAGAAAAAGTTTGTGATCTAGCAAAACACATTACTTTCATTACCAGAATTCTCTTCCATTAAGAAAAAAGAAAAAATTTGATAGCCCTGGCCCGGTAGCTCAGTTTGTTAGAGCATTGTCCCGATAATACAAGGTTGCAGGTTCGATCCCTAGTCAGGGCACATACAACAATCAACCAATGAATGTATAAATAAGTGGAACAATAAATAAATTTCAATATCTCTCTCACTCTCTTTCCCTCTCTCTCTCTCTCAAAAATCAATTTTAAAATTTTTTAAAGAAAAAAAAAATTGAGTTTACATAAAGTGATTCTCAGAAATCACTACTAGCTCCTTCTATTTTCCAATCCATCTCTTAAAGCAAAACATTATTTCAAAGTAATTTTTCAAGTAAAAACTACTTAAATATGTAGCACTACAGCTTACCCGGTGTGCCCTAAGACGGTGGCATGGTGCAGTGGTCCCCGCCCTTGTACATCTCTTTGGTTTACATTAGCACCATTCTGTAGGAGAAACTCGCACGTCACCAAAGAGCCCTTAGAGGAAAGAAGAAAACAATGTACAAAAAACCAAAATATTTCCATTAAAAACAGTGTTTACTTTATTCTAATAGTCTTTCTATTTCATTCTCCTCTAAAGAGAAAATACCCCCCAGCAAAAGCAGAAAAATGATAAATTACATTATTTCTTCCCAAGAACTACTTCTAATAAAGATTCAATTTGCAGTTTGCAATCTAGCAAAACACACTTTCATTACCAGAATTCTCTTCCATTAAGGAAAAAACAAATCACACAATCAAAGTGATGCCCAGAATCACTACTAGCTTCTTCGATTTTCCAACCCATCTCTTAAAACAAAAAATAATTCTAAGGCCATGTTTCAAATGAATTGTGCTTTTACATGTTTAACTACTACTGAAAACCTCAAGGTACAAATGCATACCCCTAATACGGCCTGAATAAGTGGTGTTGCTTTGTTTTCCTCTGAATTAGCCCAGTTCACATCTGCACCATGAGCCAAAGCCTCAGCCATTTTAGGAAGATTTTTTTCATATGAAGCCCTATAAAGCTGGAGTCCTGGATTAAGATGTTGAGAGTCAAGAAACACAGAAGAATCTTGCCTTTCTCCCTCTGAAAAGCAAACACAAACACATCATTAAAAACTAGATCTGGAGGTAGGAAAGAATGGGAAGTTATTATTTCATAGGCACAGCATTTTAGTTTTGTAAGATGAGTTCTGTGGATGAATAGTAGTGACAGTGATTCCATCAATGTGAATTAACCCTTTTCGGTCCAACTTTGAGGCTGACTCGACAGACCAGGCGCTAGGAGCAAGTCCAACGCTGAGCAATAAGAACATTAAAAAGTTCAACGTTCAATCCCGTCAATTAATTTGGACCAGACTGTTTGAATTCCAAAAATAACATTGGATCGCAAAGGGTTAAGACTTAATGCTGAACAATGACTCTCATCATTGATATTTCTATCTCCCTCTCCTTTCCCCTCTGAAATCAATAAAAATATCTCTCTATATATAAAAGGCTAATATGATGTGTCTGTCCGACTGGTAGCTATGACATGTACTGACCACCAGGGGGCAGACACTCAATACAGGAACTGCCGTGACATGCACTGGCCATTTACAGAGAAATGGCACCATGAACCTGGCGCCCACAAAGCAACACTCGGCTTCCTGCAAGTGGGACACAGGCCTCGCCACCACCCCGGAGCAACAGTGCACGAAATTGCAGCCGACGCTGCTGCGACCCCATGGCGCAAAATGTGGCCCACAGCCCACCCCAGCTTGGATATGGTCGCTGTGGGTGCTGGGTAATGACATCACATAGCAATGCCCGGCTTCCTCTCCCTAGTGACTAGCCTCCTTGGAGTTTCTTCAGCCTAGGAATGCAACTTGCTTTATAGCCAGGTGCAAATATTTTACACTTTAACCAAATGTCTGAAGCATTTTCCCATGCCTCATCTCATTTGATCCTCACAGAAGTCCTGGAGTAGGTAGATAGGAGACTCGGTGGAATCCTATTTTCTTTTCATTAGCCAGAAAACGGAGATTTATAAAGCTTAAAAACTTGACCCTACTGAAAAGAAGTAAGAAATGGTGGAACTTGAAAATGACTTCAGGTTTTCTCACTGCGCAGAATATAGTCAAACACTGCTGCAGTTAAATATTTTACCCTTTGTCCTCCCTGCATGATCTACAATAATAATCTGCTTCGTGTTGATATTTACTGCTGTGTTGCTGACAATTACCTGAAAGAGAAGTTGGGATGCTTCACTGGGCTGGAAAAAGTTTAGCTAAATTAGAAAGCAGGTCTAATTAAGCAAGTTTATTCTATATCTATAAAAGGCTAAGTTGACTCGTGCATGTGCAATACATATAAAGCTCTCACTGGCGCCAATCACAGGCGTGTGTTTCAATCTGTCATTGTCAATCGTGAATTTGGTTGACACTTCTATTATAGAGAAAGGGCGAATAGCAATATTAAAATATTTCTTCTAATTAATTTTCTTTCAATGTGCATGAATTCATGCACCGGGCCACTAGTATTTAAAAAAAGACTTAATGCCACTGAACTGTACACTTTAATATGTTTAAGATAAATTTTACATTATGTATAATTTGCCACAATTGTTTAAATGAACTCTTAACTGTATCACAATGTGAAAGTTGTGGCATAAGAAATGACTAATTTAACAAAATGAGCTGATTTCACAAAGATACTTTATTTTCAATAGAGTAATCATTCCCCAGTCAACCTCTCTTATAAACATATCAATTAGTATGTCAGCCTTTTGTGTTCTTGCCAGCATCCAATAGGTAGGTTAATTACTCTGTATTAGATTAAAATTAGGTATATTCCTATAAGCCTGGACTTAAACACTCAAAAGAGGCAGTAAGAATCCCTAAAGAATTTTACTACCAGATGACACCTTACTTTATTCCTAGGATAATCCAATACCATCACAATTTGCAGTATAAGCAATTCACATAATGTGAAGAACATTTACTACCCTGAGTATTCTGCAATACCCAAATCACTAAATATGAAGGAGGAAATATAGGAGTAAAGTACAGGTCAGTAAAGCACACAAAAATCTAAAGGGAGGGAGTTGCTGATATCTTCCTCCTGATAAGAAAAAACCACCACAAAGAAAGAAAAGAGTAATAAAGACATACAGTCCATGTGAATTAAAAGTTATCCTTAGCTAGCCCTGAATGGTAGCTCAGTTGGTTAGAGTGTTGTCCCAATATGCCAAGATTGTGGGTTTGATCCCGGTCAGGGCAAATATAAGAATCAACCAATGAATGCATGAATAAGTGGAACAACAACAAAAATCTCTCTCTCTCTCTCTCTCTCTCTCTCTCTCTCTCTCTCTCTCTTTCCCTCCCTCCCTCCCTCCCTCCCTCCCTCTCTCCCTGCCTCCCTCTCAAATTAATCAATAAAAAAATTTTAAGAAAAGGCACTTCTAAGACAAGGCACTTATAGCATATATCATGAAGTTCAGAAGAATGTACAGCTAGGAGATAACTTTCAAATATAAAAAGAAATAGCTGCTTTTCATTTAATTGTATTACTCCTTCTTCCAAAAAACTAACCACTTCCTTTAGAAACTATTTAATCAAGACTAGGCATTTAACACACATATTTTTCAGCAAATAATACCAATTAACACTGAATTTCACCAAAACTCACCAGGCTCATATAAACTATTGGCTGACACTGTAGAGGGTAAAGATTCTCTTCCATCATCAGAGCTCTGCTGGATTCCACTGTCATTACTTTTGACTGTTTTTAAGAAAAATCAGCTAGTGGTTAAAAAAAATGCCTTTAAGAAAACAACCTCCCACAAACAACGAAGTTTTAAAATGAACTCTGATACATCAATGGGAACTCAGCTGTCACCAGTAGAATACATTTAATACAATTTTAATCCTTTTGAGCACTTAGCTTATCAAAATATGAATCAAGCACAAAAACTGAAAATAAGCTTATTTTCAGAGTTGTAACACATCTCATTACCCCATAATATGTAAGGGGTAGTAAAAAGAATTTATTGTATGACTGTAAGTAATGTGTAATTCTGAGACAATGGGTAACATCTAGAGAAATGGCCACACCGCACAATGACCACTGGCACAGACTTGGAATGCTCCACAAGAGTAGTACTTACTACTACGTAGTTTTGAAGAAGTATCAAAGTAGGAGAAGAGTGAATCTAGCTCATCAGGACAGAACAGAGACTCCCGCCTGGCCTCGTCGCTATTTACAGCAACCACTGGGGACATGCAAGTTAGCAAAGCACAAAGCAGGCCATAAGAAGGGAAAAGGGCAGGAAAAAAACGTTATTGGGAAAAATTTAGGAGGGAAAAATAGGAAGGATGTTAGGTGGTTAATCAGATATTTAGGGCTTTCTGCCATGATAGATTTATAATTCCCATCTCCCCTTGCACTTTAAGCAGTTTTATTCCTTAGAATATACACATTACCTAGAAATCGAATTACCAAGACCTATTTAAATTTAATAGTTTTAAAGACATAGAAATCCAATTTTTCCTTAGAATATGTAGAAGAAAACAGGTTTTTAGCACTTAAAAATCTACAATGGCTATTAATTCAGAGATTAAGAAAGTGACATCAGTGTATAAAAATATTTATATACGCAAGTAAGTTGTAATACCTGAACTTTGGGGAGATGCTCTAACTTGGTCACCTGGCCCAAATTTAGGAATGCTTAGCCTCTTTTCTTCACAACTTTTGGAGATCATCTTTTTTTCCTGATCAGGAGGTGATGATGATATAGAACATTTATCCACAAATTTCCTCTCCACATATTTTGCTTTGATATATGCCTCTTTCTCCTGTCTGGTAAACATAAAAATGCCATGATGTTCTGCTTGGTCTCTGAGCATGACTAACACTGAAAAGCAGCCATTATACACTGACTAATTCAAAGAAAGTAATACTAGTTAAAACAGAATTTGTGACATTATGCCAAGTTTTTCTTCCAAATATTTAATGAGCTATGGTTTCATGTTCAAATCAAATACAAATAACAAACTAACTTAAAAATCAAATATTAACATGGCATTCTTTTTCTCTTAATTTCTGTACTCATTCATTTCTCTACATAGTCCTTTGTGCTTTAATTTCGTTTTTACTCCAGTAACGTCACATACTGAACTATCACTATTGATAGTCATAATTTTTCATAAGACAACTACTTTAAAACACAACATTTCTAAGTTACGGGGGAAAAGATATCACATTTTAAACTTTTGATTTCTCATCAATAAAAGTATAATATGCTAATTAGACCGGAGGGAAGCCCGGATCCTGGGTGCCTGTGGGTGGCCAGAGGGAAGCCAGCCCGGATCCTGAGTGCCTGTGGGCAGCCGGAGGGAAGCCAGTCCGGGTCCTGGGTTCCACGGCCGGCAGCCGGGGGAAAGGAAGGCTTACTCTTACACGAAAATTGTGCATCGGGCTAGACTCTAGTAGGATTATAAATGCCAAGCCTGTTCTATACCTTTTCCTGTATATTTTTCAAATGCTTAGGTCTTTGGCTAAAATAGAATATTTCAAGGTCTAAAGTAACTCAAAAAGCCATGCTTTAGTAAATAAATAATCTGATTTAAGTGATATTGGTTTAGAGAGCAGTAACATTAAAACAGTATAGCCCTAACTGGTTTGGCTCAGTGGATAGAGCGTCGGCCTGCGGACTGAAAGGTCCCAGGTTCAATTCCAGTCAAGGGCATGTACCTTGGTTGCGGGCACATCCCCAGTAGGGAGTGTGCAGGAGGCAGCTGATCGATGTGTCTCTCTTATCGATGTTTCTAACTCTCTATCCCTCTCCCTTCCTCTCTGTAAAAAATCAATAAAATATATTTAATTTAAAAAAAACAGTATTGGTTATACATAAGAATTTAGTCAAATGTAAAGCCCCAACATAGGGTTATGACAAATAAAATTTTAATGCTAAAAGTAATGATAGACTAAAAACAACATCAAAAAACAAAACAAGGCTCTAGTCAGTTTGGCTCAGTGGATATAGCATCAGCCTGTGGACTGAAGGGTCCTGGGTTCGATTCTGGTCAAGGGCACATGCCTGGGTTGCAGACTCAATCCCCAGTAGGGGGCATGCAGGAGGTAGCCGATCAATGGTAGTCTTTCATTATTGATATTTCTATCTCTCTCTCCCTCTCCCTTCCTCTCTAAAAATCAATAAAAATAAACAAGTTATGTATCTTGAAGGCACTCTTAGCCACTTTATTTAATGAGCCTCCATATACAGAAATGGAAGTATAATTTCAAACACAGCAATTAAGTACTTTCCATTACCTTGCCACCTTTAATTCTACACCATAATGCTATGTATAAAGCACGTGATTAACAAATATTTGCTTAAGTCTCACTATGTAAAATTATTCATTGTACATAGTAGAAACTTAATCCTTAGACACATTAATGAACAGATTTTGGTGGATGGAACAAAACCAAAAGACAGAGCCATCTTATATTTTGGCGGGAAATTCACCCGCACTCCAAGTGTTAAGATTCTTATCTGGAGACTATAATTGATTGATCAGTAAAAAAAATTAGCTATGGGTTAACAGAAGCAGTAATGATCTCTTCTAAACAGTCTGTTACAGTATTATATATCAATTATGGTGAAATAAAATCATAGCTATATTTCTGATTAGGGAAAAAAAAGATAACACATTAAGACAACTAAAATAGTACCTTTGTCCTGGTTGTGGTTTCTTTATTCCCATTTTTTCTACTTTAGCCTCATAAACTCGATTTATAACATCATTCCCCAACTCACACATAAGCTGTTCGGCAGAAAAACAAAAAAAATAAGCTAGAAATTCCTAAAATATTATAAAAGTCATTAAAGCAAGTACAGCCAGTAAATTCCTTTTGCATATTCTGCAACTGCTCATCCCACAAAGAAGTTTACTTTTAAAGCAAAATGAAACAAGAGCTGAGCGCAATATCACCATTTGCCATTCTTCAGCAAAATACCTCTCCTAGAGAATTACCACTCCTACAAGAAAGGGTTTCTCCTCTCCCATCTTCTACTAGTTTTCTATTCCACCATGGCTAGCACAATCCTGTATATTATTCACAATGTCTGGCCAATTAAATGAAAAAAGAAGTCTAAGGTCAGACAGGAAAAGTTTTAAATAACTCAGAACTGAAGTAAACTATTTTCTTCTTATACTTCATATATAAATATTTCAAAATATTTTGTTTAAAAGCTTGTCTTGTTTTTTTAATGCATCACAGTTGTGTTTCAAACAAATTTTCTAAATTGAATCCATTGAGATCATATCTACACAGAAAGTTGATGCAGAAATTAGATTTCTTCCCCTCTTCCCCCACTTTCTTCACCTCTGAATTAATAACAATTAATAAAATCTATGTAAACAGGGCTCTACCTTAGGAGTCAATTTATCACTTTCATTTAGAGGTTTATACCATAATTCCACAAATAAAGGGTGTCCCAAAATTCACACAAGAAGTAATTTTGATAGAAAACACAGGTTTATAATTAAAAATTGTAAATTTTTTATTGATTCATAAAATGTACAGTATAGGGTTATGTATGGAATAGCATATTGGGTAAATGGCCTCCACGGCTTTGCTGGCACATACGCACTCTTTTGTTATTGCCTGAGCAGCCGCATTTTCGAAGAAGAATGGGCCGATGATGCCTCCAGCCCAAAATCCGCACCGAACAGTGACACGTTGTGGATGCATTTGTTTCTCAACAATCACTCGTGGATTTTCTGAACCCCAAATGCGACAATTTTGTCGATTAACCAAGCCATCAAGATGAAAATGAGCCTCATCGAAATTTAGCCACATTTATGCAAAACGGTCATGGAAAATTTCAACAAAAGAGTGCGTATGTGCCAGCAAAGCCATGGAGGCCATTTACCCAATATGCTATTCCATACATAACCCTATACTGTATACTTTATGAATCAATAAAAAGTTTACAATTTTTAATTATAAACCTATGTTTTCTATCAAAATTACTTCTTGCATGAATTTTGGGACACCCTTTATTTTACTTTACATAATTGAGAGGATTACCAATTTATTTACAGATTGAAATAAAAGCACAAGCACATTAAGAAGACAATTTTCAGACAAAATAAATGAAAAGTATACTACAACCTTTAAACTAAATGGGTGGAATTAAAAGGAGTATAGTATTAACTTATGAGTTTTGTAAGTCATATCAGAAACCCAGATGTGATCTAAAATTATTTATGACATTTTCATAGATATGAATCCTCACACATGGAAAAAGGATGCCTTGGTTTGATGGCTACTACCCTGACAAATGTAAATTTGCAAATAGTCCTATGCTAAACCCAATGGAAACAACATAATATGCCAATTCATAATGGAGCTTACTATAGCAATATGTCTCATATTTTTATCGAGAACTTATATTAATTATAAAATATTAAAATTAAGGCACAGAGCCTATGATATTTTTTGAGAAAGCATAAAAATGTAGGAATGCTGGTTTCCTTAAAAAGTGAACTGACTTGGAGTTAAGAGTGCTAAATAAACTTAGCAATTTTTAAAACCCAATATGAAAATACCCGATTTGTCAAAATAGCCACAGAAATGTTCCAAAACAACACAGTTCACTGTTAGCATTGAGAAACTCATACATTTGTAAACCAAGATTCTAAATTCCTTTTATGTGGAAATATGAAACATTTTAAAGCAAATATTTTTTTACCTTTAAAAGTTCAGGCTCCCACGTGTCTAAAGTTAAAGAACGTACTTTTGAAAAATGAACTCCAAGACTCCTAAGTGGGAAAAGACTTTGTTAATATACAAAACTATCAACCTTGATTTGCTTTTTATGCAAATTATTTTCTCTTACAATGTGACAGTCTCTAATAAAGCCCTCAACACACATATAAACAGGAATACACCTTCTGATTTAATACAATGAATGGTAAACCAAAATCCTCAAAAGCTCTTCACAAGCCAGAATTGTATCCACTTTACAAAGGTAAAAAGATATAAACTAGCAGTCAAATTAGGCAAGTGGAAAAGGCCCTCTAACTAATGGGACATGATAATTTACATGTATGTTTATCCAAAAGAAGTCTCTCACCCTGGGCAGGCCTACTCACCGGTGAATTCCAGAACACTCGATACACAGGGTGATGCCCAGGTTGATGCTGGCCCACCGTGGGTCTGCCAGGCCACAGTCACAGCAGCTGGCATTGCCAGGGATACACTGGACTCGCTGCAGTGCACTTTCCCCTTTCAATAATTTATCTTTTGACTCATTTCCAGAATCCAGGCTTCCTGTGGATGGAGATGATTTCTTATCCAGCTTCTAAAAAATTAAAAATTATTTGTTTTTGTCTTCGTTTTAAAAAAGATTGTAATACCATGTTGCATACTATAGGCTCCAAACAAAAGTTTCTGGTCAATAAACTGAAGCCTATTATGGACCTAAACCAGGCACTGGTAGAAGCACTAGAGATTTAAGAATGGAATGATAGCCCTGGCCAGTGTGGCTCAGTTGGTTGGAGCATCATCTTATACATCAGAAGGTGGCAGGTTCAATTCCTTGTCAGAGCACATACCAGGTTGCCAGCTCAATCCAGTCAGAGTGTCCCTTCCTCCCTCTCTAAAATAAATTTTTTTTAAATGGAAAGATATAGGTTCCTCTATCAACTGGCTTTTGGTCTTGTGGGGAAAAATATATACACACTTTGAATAATTATAAAGGCAGTGTTTATTAAAATACATTTCATTTTCAAAATTGAGCTATCAGCTGTTAAAGTGTGTATACATTTTTGGGGGATATCCTGTATAAACACTGAAAACATATTTATATATATTTATATATGTATATATAATATTTATGTAAATATATATAAACTGGTACAATGAAAAAATATAATATACAAGAATATGTATTTACATATATTTATACAAATATACACATGTATAAACTGATACAATGAACATATGTACAAAATATGAGGTCAAAGAGAAAGAAGAACACTAAATGTGTAAAATGAGAAAACAGAGGGACTAAACATGAAACTATTAAGACTCAAGAAAAAAATAAATATTATTTTATACAAGGTTTTTCCAAGGTATTCAATAAACTGCAAGCAAGTTGTTTAAACTACTTCAGTGAATAATAGAGCATGGCCTTTTACTAAAGAACAGATCAGTTACATAATTATAATTACAGTGAATCAACAATAGAATACACAGTATCTAAAAATGTCATGGGCTATTAAGAAAAGCAAAAGGTGACAGATGAGCAAAAGGCTAATTTCTTAAGTTTATAGCAAAGTCTATACCAATAATAGAAACATGTAGTTTGGGGGTCCTAAGCAATTAAACATACGGCCTAAAAAGTATTCGAGTTTAAAAACATTTCAACAAGCTAGTATTCTAGTAAAGAATCATTAGAAATATAATTTGGCCCTTGTTTTGCCCTTGTGAAAACTCAATTCAATAGCCATTAGTTGGGGCCAAGCAAAAAAAGTAGTTGGAGTATTGTCCATAGAGGACTGAGCTGGGTGGGGAGGATATCTTTAAATGAAAACACCACCATGTTGGATCCAAACAGGATAAGGAGGGTATCTGCATAAGGAGGGAGCCCAGCAAGGGAAGAAAGATCTAGAGGAAGGGGATAAGTGTGGAGAAGGAGTGCCACACGGTAATGTGTCACAGCCACAGTGGGGTGAGGGGGCAGGTGGCAGCAGAGAAAGGACATTGCTTACATATAGGGGAAATTGATCATGTAAACAAAAATGTTGAAATTAATGGGAGCTAAATTTCTCACTACTGAGAAAGAAGTTATTCATAAGAAAGGGAAAGAATTAGAATAAATCCCATTGTATTAGATTGGAACTGGAGATACCAACAGGCACAATATTGGTTTTCAATATAAATAGATATATAAAGAAATATAGATTTACTTGTTTATTTATTTATCTTGGTTTCTAAAATCCATTCTCCACCAAAAGCAACTAGGTCTCTTTAAGGAAACTTAATTTCAGAGCTGGTGCAGAGAAAGGACAAGATGAACCTGAAACATCTCATCATGCTAGGAAGTTTGGAAGAACTCAAAGATTGATGGGACCATGTCAAAAGGATACAGAAGCCAGGGCTCTATTGGCCAAACTTGAGTCAATTTGTGCAACAAAACAAATAATGATGGTAATGGATTTTAACACATTGAATAAAATCATAGCCTATGCTGACATAATAAAAAAAATTCAGCCCAGCCAGCTTGGCTCAGGGGTTGAGCTTAGACCTATGAACTGAGAGGTCACAGTTCCATTCCCAGTCAGGGACATATGCCTGGGTTGCAGGCTCGATCCCCAGTGTGGGGCATGCAAGAAGCAGCCGATTAATGATTCTCTCTCATCACTGATGTTTCTCTCTCCCTTCCTCTCTGAAATCAATAAAAATATATTTTTTAAAAAATTCAAAGCCTGATAAGGAACAGAATATTTACATAATCTCCAAATACCACAAAATACTATTAAGAAAACTTTGCAGTAAAGAAGTCTAACAGACACCACCTTAATCAAATTACCCCAGTTAATATCACCAATAATGAGACAAATCAAAATGAAATGCCACCTGAGAGGACACAGTGAGAAGAACACAGCATCAACTATATAATACTAGAGGCCCGGTGCACCGGTAGTGTTCCTAGGCCTGGCTGGCGATCAGGGCCGATCTGTGGGGGCACCAGTGGCCCCTCTCCCCCGCCTGCACCGCCTTGGCCAGCCTGGCATCACCCGCTCGGCAGCCCCACCCCTTGCCACAACTACTGGTCACCTTCCTCTGTGGGGCAACCAGCAGGGCAATCGGGGGGTCCCCACTGGAACCTGTCTTGGCTGGCCTGTGGCCTGAGGGCTGGGGGCAGCTCCTGCATTGAGCATCTGCCCCTTGGTAGTCAGTGCATGTCACAGCAAACGGTCATTCTGCTGATCATTCTGCTGTCCAGTCAATTTGCATATTAGGCTTTTATTATATAGGACTAGAGGCCCAATGCACGAATTTAGTGCAATAGGCTCGGCCCTCGCAGCTGCAGCAGCCTGCCTCAGCCCTTGCAGCCCTGGCTTTGTCCGAAAGGTCATCCAGAAGGACGTTCGGCTGTCCGGTCTAATTAGCATATTACGTTTTTATTATTATAGACTAGAGGCCCGGTGCACGAAATTCGTGCAGGGGGGGCGGGGGTCCTCAGCCCGGCCTGCATCCTCTCCAATCCGGGATCCCCTCGCAATCTGGAACCACTGGCTCCTAAATGCTCACCTGCCTGCCTGCCTGATGCCCCTAACTGCTCCTCTGCCAGCCTGATGGCTCTAACTGCTCTCCCCTGCCAGACTGATCCCCCTAACTGCTCTCCCCTCCTGGTCTGATCGCCCTACCTGCCTAACTGTTCTCCCCTGCTGGCTTGATCCCCCCTAACTGCCCTCCCCTAACAGCCTGATTGCCCTAACTGCCTAACTGCTTACCCTGCTGGCCTGATCCCAACTGCCTATCTGCTCTCCCCTCCTGGCCTGATCGCCCTAACTGCCTATCTGCTCTCCCCTCCTCGCCTGATCGCCCTAACTGCCTATCTGCTCTCTCCTCCTGGCCTGATCACCCTAACTGCCTATCTGCTCTCCCTTCCTCTCCGTGCCCTTTGGACCCCCGGTGCAGGCGTGCTGAGAGCTCTCCGCCACGGCCTCAGCCCCATCGATTGGTTGTTATGTGATGGCATCCCGGCCAATTTGCATATTCCTCTATTATTAGTATAGATTCCTGCCAAAGATGCATAGCCTTGTGAGTAAACATCAGACAAACCCATACTAAGGGACATTCTACAAAATTAACTAGCCTATAGTCTTCAAAACTATCAAGGTCAAGAAGGTCAAAGTAAGATTCAGGAACTATTCCTGACTAACAGAAACCAAAGAATCATGACAACTAAATAATACCTGTGCTTCTGGATTGGATTGTTTTGCCATAAAGAACATTACTGGGACAACTGTTAAAACTTAAAGATATGTGGGAATCAAATGGTAGTAATTTACCAATGCTCATTTCTTGATTTTGATGGCTATCCCATGATTATATAGGAGGATATCCTAGGCTGTGGGAAATACTAAAGAAATAGTGAGTGATGGAGCATCATGTTAGCAACTTACTCTGAAACCATTCAGGGGGAAAGTACTACACTTGGAACTTCTCTGTAAGTTTGAGATTATTTCAACATTTTAAAAGAAGAGATACAATCTTTTACTAGAACATGTTTGATAATGTGGACTCATAAGCAATTATCATATGGGGAAAGAATCTCAATATAATGCAGAAATCATTTGGTTTATTAGCAATTTCCCTCTATAAGCTAATGCTTTTGTGCCAAATTAGAGAAGTTGAAAGCAAAGTACACTAACACATCAGAATTTGGACTAGTCATTTCAAGAAACACAGGACTCAACATGACACCCATCCCCCATTCCTGTTCTTGGTTCATTTTGGCCACATACTCTGATTTGAAAGTGTTTACTGCATTATGTATTTTGCCTCTGTTACCATAAATGAGTAGCCTCAATTCTTCTGTACCCTCCCATTAAGCTATCTTTACCAATTTTTATTTTATTTTTTAAAAGAGTTTTTACAGAAAGAGGAAGGGAGAGTGGGAGATAGAGACATATTTATGTGAGAGCGGAACATCAATCAACTGCCTTCTCCTTGCCTCCCTACCAGGAATTGAGCCCAAAACCCGGGCAATCAAACTGGCAACCTTTCGGTGCATAGGATAACACCCAACCAATTGATCCACACTGGCCAGGGCTAGCATCACCAACTTTTAAAGTTAGGTCCTATCTATACTCTAGTATTCATTTATTATGAATTGAACTGTGCTAGTATTTCTACTAAGATTCTAAAGCTCCTGAAAGGATTCTAGTTACAAACTTACACAGGTTTTTAGGTCAGCCTTATCCCTATTTGTCCCATAATCCCTATTATTCTAGTGTATTATTTTGCATAACCCAGTTATTTCAGCAATGCCACCAGCTTCTTCAAAATGATCTGGATGCACACCTAACTTTATTTTCTCTCAAAACTGCTAAAAACTAGAGAATTTTTAAAAAGGCATTACCCAGGTCCCTTATTGGACAAAGATGTGATCATTTTGATAATCAAAAAGAATAATTATTACCCTAGCCAGTTTGGCTCAGTTAGAGCGTCAGCCCGAGGACTGAAGGGTCACAGGTTCGATTGCTGGTCAAGGGCACATACCACGGTTGCAGGCTCAAGCCAGTTCAGGGTAGGTGTGGGAGGCAACCAATCAAAGTGTTTCTCTGA